GAAGGTCTTGACATGAAATCTGTGGCTCTAGACAGGTATGCTCACGTGACTGATGTTCCCAAGGCTTCAGCTTTAGAAAGGCTATTTTTAAAAGTAGGGCAAGTTATGCAGCCCACAATGCCAGGGTATTCTCTGAATTAACTGTATGTCCCTGTGATCAGCTGGCTAGAGCTGGAAAAATCACAGACTGGTTTTGCCTCTCATTGGAAAAGTAGGTTTTGATGTCAGTTGCAGGAAAGTTTGTAAAACCACTTCTCTGAGTTTAGCGTTGCTTCCCAGGCACTGCAGTAATCCCGAAGCTGGTTGTTCCTGCCTGTGTGCTCTTGCCAGCACCCAGGTCTTCCTTTATCACTGCTTGTGACCACTGGGTCCTCATCACCAATAGAGTGTGAAGGGATTTTTTAGTCTAAACAAACTGAAATAAGAACTAGAAAAGGCAGAGTTTTGTTGTAGGTGTGACATTTTTGCATGTGGCTTAAGCGAAATTAAGTTTCACTTGTTAATTTTTATTTCCAGTGGCAGAGGGGAACTGAAGAGTGGTATCAGTTCGGTAGAGAAAAAAGGAGCTTAGAATTGAACAGCAGAAGGCTGTCAGAAGAGTGTGTGGGGAGGGAGGGGGTTAATGAGAGAATTGATGGGTCTTTAAAATGCTTTCTGGCTTTCAAGTTAGTGATGCCATGATTTCACACCGTTAAGTGATCCATGCTGATGGAAGTGGAAATGTTCTTAGGTCAAATTTGAATGTTAACTTTAAAATCTGCCTCAGTGCCCCCCACCCCTTCTGGAAAGGTATGCCCTTTCCAGGTAGCCATCCCAGGGACAGGGGCAGATGGTCTTTTTAATATAAAGTGTGTAGTGATTGAAAAGTGAGTTGGAATTGGTGGTAACAACAGCCAGAGAGGGGATTTTCTTCCTTTGTTAGTCATAAGGTGCTCATAGAGCAGTGTCCATGGGAGGTACAGTAGTCTCCCTGCGGAGCCCTCACTACTAGGAAACATTAAGACCCTGTTCCCCTGGGGAGTGCTTCCCTGGCAGGCGGTACACCTGCCAGGCCGGCTCCTGCTGTGTGGGTGGGGGTGCGCGTGAGCGTGGCACCATGTTCTGGGCCGTTCGGAGAGGTTCAGGCCTTTACAAGCAAGGCTTTGATTCTATTTTTTGCTGAACTAGCTCAGCCACTTCCTGTGTTTGGCTGCGCAGAGTGCCTGGCTTCACCGTGGCCACTTGAGCCCCGCGAGCCAGCGAGCACGCCGCCGCAGCCAGTGAGAGAGGCTATTTTAGGTCCCCTCACAATGGCCTTCTCATTTCCTCCGCGAAAATGAGCAAGTTGGGCTGGCATTGACCACTTGTTAGCCGATGACAACTTTGGCTCCCCTCCCCCACCCGAAATCCCTAGCTCAGCAAATATTTGAACCTGCCCAAGTTAATCATGAAGCTGCGATCTTTATCTAAGAGAGACGTGCGAGCGCCTGGGCTTTTTCCCTCCCCCGTATTACCAACATCGAGTGGGTTTCTCTATGGGGAGCCGGCAGTGAGCAGCTGCTGGGGCCGAGCGATTGTCTGGTCGCTGGGGCCGCTGTGAACGCCCGAGGGTCCTGCAGCTGCCGGTTGCTGCTCGAGCACTGCCCGCCGCCGTCTGGAGGGGGCCGGTCCGGCTCTGGAGGAAGAGCTGTTGGGATTTTTTTTTTCCTTCACTGTCAGATACCAGCATTTCAAAGGAAAATCGCTGAAATGCATAACCTGCAAAGTAAGTCGCCTTTAATTTGTGCACCTTTCTGCCACCTCATTTGTTTTTGTAATTCTGTGAAAGGTTTATTTCTAGAGTGTGTCTGTTGTATGTGTGAGGTGAGAGGGAGATGGATGGGAGATTAGGGGAGACACTCCTCATTTCCTCAAGGGGCACTGTTTGAGGCACAGATGGGGATTAGGTTGGACACAGAGATGGAGAGAAATACAGAGCCCTTGGCTGGAAGCTGGTGCCTGGCCAGCTTCTGAGGCACCATAGAAAATCACCTGTCCTCCTCCCTGGTTAGGTCTGCCACATGGGGCCAGCAGCAGGACTAGTTTGCAGCAAGTGTCCCCAAGGCATGGGGGCCACAGCTAATCCCAGGACGCGTCTCCCTTCTGGAAGGAGGGGCAACAGTTAAATTATTAAGAATTTTCTTTTTTTTCTGAATTGTATCCAGGGACCTACTCCCCCCTGCACCATCATTTTTATCAGTTATAGCTGAACTTCAGTTTAGATCTATTTATTAAATCCAAAGGCAAATAGAAAAGATTAGGAGGGAAAAGGTGGCAGAACATAATTTTATGAGTTCAAATTTGACATAAAGTTTGAGAAATGCCAAGGGCTTCTGCATCTTTAATGTGTCACTCAAAGATGGGATTGATATATACTAGATCACCAAGCTCACTATTTCATCAGTCACATTTGAAGGGGGGGTTGTTTCTCCCATCATATTTAAATGTGAAGAGATTGGTATGTTAGGTTCCAATAAAGGTGGCAGGATTGTAGGCAGAATAGCTTTAAAGACATAAAATTAATAATGAGATGTTTAAGATATAAAGCAATTGATTGCTTTACCTTTAAAGAAGGAAAAATATTTGTTCCTGGAGTGAGTCTTTTGAGATAGAGGAGGGACAAAAGCCCCCAAAAGTGATTACATCACCTTCCCCCTTACGCTGTACTAGCTCAAGAATGTGGTTGATGATGGTTCTCAATGAGAAATATTTGGCCAAAGTAGCTCTGCCGCTATTCTTTCTTTTTTGGAAGGTGCAACTTAGAGGAATTCTGTTAGTAACATCAAAATCATCATTCATGATGCTGACAATTATGTTTATTATCTCTGTATCAAACATCTTCATTCCTGGTAAGAGTTCACATCCTTAGTCCATAAAGTCTGGTTTTAACTTGGCAGTGTTTATTAGGAGATTTTTGCCTGTATATTTCCTTTTAGCTGTGCTTTCAAACGTGGTACATTTGTGACAGTGTTTAAATTCAGAGTTTGCTACACTATGTAGGACAGAAATGAAATACCCCATTTCTACAGTTTTTAAATCCTTTCATTTTAAGTATATAGAAAGATACTTAAGAACCATAAGTAGACCCGAGGTGTACATCATGCCCTTGCAAGATTGTTAAACCTAGCAATGACCAGGCTATCTCTAAACCCAGACGCACTAGGGGAAAAAAAGCTACGTGCTGCAGCATATCAGCTTTTGTCAACCTGCCAACGGCGGAGCGTACCATGCTGCAAAGGAATAATAAAAAAGGAATTAGAAAACTCACTGCTAGAGGAGAACAGTCAAATTAAACACCTTTTTGAAACGATGAGCCTGCAGACATGGCAGTTCTATTAAATGTACGTTCTTCTTGAGGTTGGGCAGTGTTAAGGCTGGAGGAGAAGAGAAATGATGAAGCAGGAGTGGTCTGGTGACATTTTTCTGACTTGATTGGCTGGGGCGTGTGATGTAATAGGTTACAGTGCAGCCCCTTATAGGTTTTAAAATGAATTCCAAGACACCATTACAAAGAAAGCCGGACTCTTTTCTTATAACTGAGCTCAGCCAAGGAAACTCTCACACAAATGTACAACACTGTTTGGAATATGGAAGACCTGGATTTAGAATATGCTAAGACAGATATAAATTGTGGCACAGACTTGATGTTTTATATAGAAATGGATCCACCAGGTAATACTGCAGTATTCTTATAGAAAGCTAGTTAATTTTGTGGCTTTTTTGGGACAACTACCAGAACAGAGACTCTTTTGATTTCTATTTTTAATTTGTATTAATTAGTAAAAATTAATTTGTTCATAACTTGAAAATTTAGCAAATTGTTTGCCTGTGGAAGCAAGCAGATCAGGCTGTGTGTGGTAAATGTTTAATTCTTACTTGAATGAATATGAAGTGAATTCCATTTCTTGACTGCTATCTGTCCTTTGCTATTTAGGTTATATTGTTCCTTTAATTTAAAGGATGCATCTTTTGTGCTGTTATTCTCTATTGACAGTAGATGAGAATAGTGTGATACTTTGCTGTGATAACACTTGGTACTTTAGAAAGCATGTGAAATGTAGCAGTGATTGCAACTCAAGTTTTGAAACTATTATGAATCAAAAATTGAGATTTTGCCTGTTCTCTTATATTAAGATACTATAGTGAGAAAAGAGGTTGGCTTTTCATTATTAACATGAGTCTTTATGACAGTTTCCTGAAAATTTTTGCATAAATTAAATAACAGTGCTTTAAAACTTTGGACACAAAATGTAGCTAAAAATCCTAGGCTTATGTTGCTTTCTAAATTATTTCATTGCAATGTTAGCCCTCCCCCCATTTTAGAAGCATTGCAACCTTTTATCTGTCACCAGTTGGTATATGAATACTGATTTGACATTGAGGTAGAGGGGTATGGTTTTTAATCAGTGTTGGCATATTTTATCATATAGAATATTAATGTGAATACTAAGGAAATTTAGGTCACAGATGAGTTTCTTAAAGTGGCTTTTGGCAGAATAGTGCCTCTAAGAGAATCCCAATTCCTCCTCTTTAAACATATTGCTGTAGATGAGCTGTTTTATTACCACAGCAGCATTTCTGGAGGACACAAACTGAATTTGGCTTTCAAAATTAAATAAAAGGAAATTAAAGCTAACCCACGTGATTCCTCCTGTTCATGGTTTCGTTAGCTGGGTTTGACCAGGCATGAAACTTTAATATATCTAGAAGTAGAGAATGCCGTGACTTCATTTACTTGGTCAGCCCAGTTTGTTATAGTCTCTTAGCTGTTCTCCCTTTCAGTTTTTCTTTTTCAGCCATACTCTAAAAGATATCCTATTTTAAGAAAAGTATCTTCTGTGGATTGTCGCTGTATTTTAGTCACTCCCATTTTTTTCTGTATAAAAAAAATGTTTTATCTGGAGAATGTCAGTCTAACTTAAAAAACGTTTGATGGTAGTTGAGAGATTGCAAGCAACTTCTTCTTTCTCCTCAATCTACAGCACTGCCTCCTAAACCACCAAAACCCACTACTACTGTAGCCAACAACGGTATGAATAACAATATGTCCTTACAAGATGCTGAATGGTACTGGGGAGATATCTCGAGGTAAGGCTGCAGAGACTACAGAGGAGTCGTTTCAGAATAGGGGAAAGAAAAGCACCAGCTTGCTAAATTCCATTTTTAGGATATCATCCAACATAAGCATGAAACATAGTTGGTTCTCTTCCAGAGAAGTCACTGAGCACTAGAGGACTGTGAGTGCTGGGTGCCACAGGAAATTAAATACCCGAGAAGTTTCATTATTGACAGAGATGTCAGGAAAGCGCCAGGATGAAATGGCACTGCCTGAGGCAGAGTGGAAAGTCACTGTCTGTTAGGCAAAAGAATTAATGTTATTATCTTAACCATAATAAAATGGCACTTTTATTCCTTGTCAAAGGGGAGGAGTCGGGGGGAGTAGAGGGAAAGGAAGCCCATTTGGGATCATGAATTTGTCAGAGTATCTGGTAAAAAAATGAAAACTTCACTGATATACTAACAGTGAAAGTGGTATTTTTTAAATTCCTATGCACCTGTTTGTAGTGAGATAACACTTACAATATTCTTTGGGAAGCACAGAATAAATTAGGTCCTGATAACAATCTGTAACAGATACAAATCTAATCTGTAAGGACAGAGGGCACATGAAGGCACAGTGCACATTTTGCTGTGAACCAAAAACTGCTGTAAAAAATAGTCATGTCTTTTTAAAAAATGTAAACCCACACTCTCCTTCAGGTAAGCATTGTCTTGTATTTTCATTTTAGGGAAGAAGTGAATGAAAAACTTCGAGATACAGCTGACGGAACCTTTTTGGTACGAGACGCATCTACTAAAATGCATGGTGATTATACGCTTACACTAAGGTGAGGTCAGAGAAAGTGGCTAAACGTGGAATGTTTGAGTTGATATTGAAACACATATTTCTAATGCTATTTTCTATATTGTATTGACAGGAAAGGAGGAAATAACAAATTAATCAAAATATTTCACCGAGATGGGAAATATGGCTTCTCTGACCCATTAACCTTCAACTCTGTGGTTGAACTAATAAACCACTACCGGAATGAATCTCTAGCTCAGTATAACCCCAAGCTGGATGTGAAATTACTTTACCCAGTATCCAAATACCAACAGGTAATCAAAATGCAACACTATATCTAGTCAAAGCAATGCTTAGAAAACATTTTGAAGCAGATGTGTTACATGTAATAAAGTTTGAAAAAATTTCCAGAATTGTCAGTCATTTTATAATGGCTGAAGAAAACATTTAAGGAATGCTGCCCATGTCAGATAGCTTGTTTAATATTTGATTCAAATATACACCAACTAAATTTTTCTTTTTCCTTTGATCTCTAATCCTTGTAGGATCAAGTTGTAAAAGAAGATAATATTGAAGCTGTAGGGAAAAAATTACATGAATATAACACTCAATTTCAAGAAAAAAGCCGTGAATATGATAGGTTATATGAAGATTATACCCGGACTTCCCAGGTTAGTTTCCTGCAAAAATCAAATTTCACAGCTCTTAGTTATTAGAACCTAACGTGTTATATTCAGCTTCAAAAAAAAAGAAAAGTTTTTAAAAATAAAGTAGGGGGTAGAAGATTATTGTTAAATATCCTAGTAATAATTCCTGGTATATCTAACCCTTTTATTAAGGGACACTCTTAAGAATCTGAGTAAGTTCACCTGATAAATGAAGCCATTATGACATAATTACTCCACAGAGTCCCGCCTCTGCAATGGAGGTGTAGCCCTTACATACCAACCATGAAAAGTAGAGGCTACATCTTCCATAGGCTGGCATGTATCTGGGGCTGCAAGAAAGTCAAATGCCATAAAAGGCTGACAGAGTAGAGTGGCTACACAGACGGAAGCTGTAGGAGCTGCCCGCAGTCATCCCCTGGAGATCGGGGCAGTCGTGCAAAGGAAACGTGTGCGCCTGCGTCACCTAGCTAGCTCGGGAGTAATGTAGACCCAGCGTCCTGGTAGTCTTTGCAGTAACACTTTGTTCTGTGAAAGGGAGATGACATTGTCTTATTAAAATGATATTGCAGGAAATCCAGATGAAGAGAACAGCTATTGAAGCATTTAATGAAACTATAAAGATATTTGAAGAACAGTGTCAAACCCAGGAGCGGTACAGCAAAGAATCCATAGAAAAGTTTAAACGTGAAGGCAACGAGAAAGAAATACAAAGGTTGGTGGGCCACAAATGTGCTGGTGTTGTCCTTGTGCTAGACCTAATCAGAATCTTCTGAAACTGTTTAAAGATGATCTCTTTTGGTGTTCTGAATAACTTAAAGAACATTTTATCTGTTGAAAACTGCTGGGAATTCATAGTGAAACCTTCCTCGTGCACCCAGGTGATTACAGATGTGTTTTTCTTGCCTTCAGGATTATGCATAATTATGAAAAGTTAAAGTCTCGAATCAGTGAAATTGTTGACAGTAAAAGGCGGCTAGAGGAAGACTTGAAGAAGCAGGCAGCTGAGTATCGGGAGATTGACAAACGTATGAATAGCATTAAGCCAGACCTCATCCAACTTAGAAAGACAAGAGACCAATACTTGATGTAAGTATCAGCAGTGAACTGAGTGTGTGGCTGGTTAATCAATAATTAATAACTGCGACAGTTAATCAATAATTAATAAGTTCTTAATGCATTTGTTTTACGACTTTTCCAGGTGGTTGACACAGAAAGGGGTCCGGCAAAAGAAGCTCAATGAATGGCTGGGCAATGAAAACACTGAAGAGTAAGTAGTTATTAGACAGGGGCGAGAGCACAAGAATTCTTTCATTTTAGGAAAGTGCATGACTTGCTTTGTTTTCAGAACAAGTAAGGAATTTCCCTGAGTTTGGAGCATCTTGTATAAACTCAAGTCTCATCATCCAGAATTGGAAAGTTTAGTGAAGGAGGGTGACTACTTTTTCCCCATAGTGCAGTACAGGGACACTATGATGTTCCTGAGACTGTAAAGAAAAAAAAAAAAAATCCCAGTATATTTTTGAAGCTTATGCTTTGTTGGAATTATTTGAAAGCTGGCAATCCTCCTAGGTAATTTCCCAATCTAAACTGGACAAACAGGATCACTTAATACCGTCCTCTTTGCCCAGGTACCTAAGTGCAGTAGCTGACTTGGAAACAGGTAGCTACAACTTAGCACTGCTCTCTCTGTCCAGGGAGGTTACACTGAGGCTAAGAAATTCAAGAGGAAAACTCGGGCCACAGAAGGTAGTCCAGCCTGCTTGGCTTGCTTAGCAGGAGAGGCAGGGAGAAGTGAGATGGGGGGCTGGGGAAAACCATACACATCATTTAGAAAGCTCCTCTCCTCTCTTCTTAGTCAATATTCGCTGGTAGAAGATGATGAAGATTTGCCCCACCATGATGAGAAGACCTGGAATGTCGGAAGCAGCAACCGAAACAAAGCTGAAAACCTACTGCGAGGGAAGCGAGATGGCACTTTTCTTGTCCGGGAGAGCAGTAAACAGGGCTGTTACGCCTGTTCTGTTGTGTATGTATCTCCGGGAAGCTATTTTCTTATTATTGAGGTGGTCATTCCTTCTACCCACCTTGAGGGCAAGGATTTGAGGAAATTCTAATCTTGAAAGCAATCTGATAGTAAAATGATGTAGATAAGGAAATAAAACACACTATTTGAAAATCCAGGAGTATTTTACTCCTCACAGGGCCTAATAGAAAGAAACCTGCTGTTTGTGTTTGCTGAGAAATCATGTCCAGCCACTACAGTGGAAATAGCAGAAGATGTGGCTTCTGAAGCCCCCCGTCGCCAAAACAGCATCTGCGGTGATGCGCGTGAGCACAGCGTCTCCACCAAGACCCTGGCTGCTATCCTTGAGCGGGGACACAGGAAATACACATTTCATCACGTGGCATGTTTGTTTAGTAGCTTGGGGAGTCCTTTGAAAAGGGAATTTTGGGTCTCCAGCTTCATGGCAGAGGGCCAGTGTCCTCTACAACACTTCTGAAAGTGCATCCTACCCTACGGCCTGCTTCCATCTAAGCAGAGAAATTTCCTATGGGATAGGAGTGAGGGCAAGGGGATAGGAAAGTAAATGCAAAAAGATGGGAGTCGCATAGACAGAGTAAGGACAGTTGGGAAGACAACTGTCAAGAACGCCGGCGCTGGCCGCATCGACATGATCTCACTGCACTCCGCAAAGCCACCCTGTCATAGATATTACTGTGGTCTTGCTAGTAAGCCATTCTCAAGCAGAAAATACAGCCACTCGTGAAGGCAGGCTCCCGACCCAGGGCACCAGCTAGTGAGTGGCCAGCCACACTAAGCAGGGCGGTTGTCTGCAGCGAGGGCACGTTGTCATGATGACAGTCTGATTGAAACATCCTTATGGAGTTGTGAATTTGTCCTGGATAAGCTCAAAGGCATTTGTTTTTTCTCCTCTCTAGGGTGGATGGTGAAGTAAAGCATTGTGTCATAAACAAGACCGCGACGGGCTATGGCTTTGCCGAGCCCTATAACTTGTACAGCTCTCTGAAAGAACTGGTGCTACATTACCAACACACCTCCCTCGTGCAGCACAATGACTCCCTCAACGTCACACTAGCCTACCCGGTATATGCACAGCAGAGGCGATGAAGCGCTGGCCCTCGGATCCTTCTCCTGGAGTTCACACACCCTGAAACCTCTGGAAAGCACAGGGCTTCTCTCCAGCCTGACCTGTGAATTGAGCTGCGGAAACGAAGCTGTCTGCCTTCAGATGGGACTCGAGCTTTCTTCGACAAAAAGTAGTAGGGGAAGACAAGCAGCCTTGCACTGCTGTGCCATGACCACACATTTCTAATCCGGATTGCTTATCCTTTCTTCCCTTTTTTTTTGGTTTAATTTAAAGCCACAATTAAACAAAGAGAAAAAGAAATGCAAAAATCTCTGCGTGCAGGGACAAAGAGGCCTTTCACCATGGTGCTTGTTAATGCTTTCTGCAGCTTTACCAGCTCAAAGTTGGGACCTTGTAGACCTCGGAGGGTGGATGGGCCAAAGAGCCCTGCCCGGGACGCTCGGTCCAGCCTGGCCGTTGCTGTGATGGTGGGCCCAGACACATCGCACTGTGGATTATTTCATTTTCTAACAAATGAACGATATGTAGCAGACAGGCACTTCCACTCACAAGGGACACTTTGGGAGAATGTCAACTCACATGTGTTCAAAGAAAATTCTGTTGTGACAGAGTGCCAGAAAGTGTGTTGTTTAAACTTTTCAAAATAAAAAAACCCACCAACAAAGAAATCGAACTTGGAAAACAAGACTTTAAGTGACATTCAGTATATAAAATATGTACATAATATGGGATGACTAACTATAAAATAGATGGATTTGTATCGATACCAAATAGCTTCTGTTTTGTTTTGCTGAAAGCTAAATTCACAGTGCTATGCAACTCTTAATTTTTATCAAGTTGTTATCTCAGTTTCAAATATACCTTCAGAATAAGCTTCCCCCACCCCAGTTTTTGTTGCTTGAAAATATTGTTGTCCCGGATCTTTTTGTTAATATTCGTTTTGTTATTTTTTTTAAAGAAATGTATAGGATGCCAGTTTAAAAAAAAATGGCTTCAGAATTAAAACTATGAAATATTTTACAGTTTTTCTTGTACAGAGTACTTGGCTATTAGCCCAAGGTTAAAAACTTCATAACAGATTTTTTGGACTAAATGTTTTGTTGGGCAGTGCCTGATAAGCTTCAAAGCTGCTGCTTTATTCAATAAAAAAGAGAAAGATATATGAATATGACAAAGTATCGCTAAGTTCAGCAATGTTGTTTCGAGACTTAAAATACGGTACCTGACAATGTTTGTTTCATAAAGAATTGTGAACTTCTTGAATCTGTGGGGGCGGGGGTATAGCAGTCGGGTGTACAGGTGGGATGTTGGGGAGCGGTGGCTCCGTGGTATGCACTTTGTCGAGATTGCAGAGAAGTGAATTAGTGCAAAGTGAAGTTGCTTATACTTCAGTCTTTCCCATTTCACCCTGCCAGTTACTGACAATTACCAAGCTACTGTAACCCAGGGCAGCCGCTCAGATCTCAGCCGGCAGGGGCAGGCGAGGCTCCAGGAACGTGTTCACCTTCGTTGGCAAAGTTGACTTAAAGGTATACCCTCGCATTTATAAATCTTCTCTGACACATTAGGCTACCCACGACCACCGACCAACATTCATTTTAGAAAAGGCATGATCTAAAAAATAAGTTCTTCTTCTAACTGTCCATTCAACTTAGATAACAAAGCAAATAGGATGGTGGCTAGTGCCGGGTGGCACTCGCTTACAGGCACAGCCATCGCAGCCGCGCTCCGAAGGCCCTTCCCACCACCCAGACCCTGGTATCTTCCCCGGCGGGGTGAGGGGGGTGTGCCAAGAGGCCATTTTCCAATTTAGGGCGGGAGTGAGAGGCCACTTTCCCTGAATTACATATGCAAAAGCCTTTCTGTTCAGCAGAAGTTGGACATGTGTTGGAAGGAATAATCACGGTCACTACCTTGTAGATTAAAGTGGAATCTCAATTTGTTTTCCTTTCTCAATACTAAACAGACTCACCCACAGCTTGCTTTCTTTTCCCTTCAAATGCTGGGGTGAGGGTTGTTTGGTTTTTATATTGTTCCTTTGAAAGTTCTTTTGAAGGAATCAGTCTAGCAGCTGACTTAACTGTAGAATGTATTTTTTCCTCTTTACATGAAGCTACTCATATTCGAGCAATAGTCAGTCTTACAGCCGGACTGTCAGCCCTCAAACTTGACTGTACTGATCTGACCATCTATCTCCCTCATCTCCAGACAATTGATTTCCCTGCTTTTAGTCTATGAGTGTCTGCTTTACAACTTGCCTTTCCTGTCACACAGAGATCTAACAATTAATTAGCTAATAGTTTATGAACTAGTGGTGGTGTTTTTTTTTGGTAGCACATCCATGTATGCTATTCAGTATATTTTTTTACTTAATTTCTAAAATACAAGTCCTGAGATGGGATGTTTCATTAAGAGTTACAGTTTTGTAATGTTTTGCTTTGACACATCACGTCATGACATGGTATGCAGGCACTTGCCTTCTTTTCCATTTCAAGTATAAATGCAACAGACTCCTTTAAACAGCAAAGGCAAGATTCGTCATTCCTTATCACAGTGAGTTACACCATCCATGTGATGTGACCCCTCTGGCAAATGCCTTTTTGATTGCGTGTAGCATGCCCACTCCACCTGTCACTCTAGATGTTTAACCTGGGTTCAGTCTCCTAACAGTATTGTCTGAGTGGCTCAGGAGTAGAAATGACTACAGCAGAGCACTCCCGATATATGCTTTTATCCATGCATTGATTTTCTCACCAGTGTAGTGTCCTAAATGTCACCAGCTAAGCTGCAGAGGCTGTAATAGGGCTGTAGAAATGGGAGCTTTGGGACCCGATAGTACACGAGAAAAATCACCACATGAAAAGGCAAAAAGCATGTGTTTGCAACATCTGACAGCTTCATGGCCCTTTATCTGTATATATGTATATGTGCATGGACTGTGTTCCAAGAACACCTCAGCTGAAATGATTCCACAGTCGTTGAGTTCAGTACATAACAAGCAAGTGTCTAGTACAAGTCTTGTATATGTGTATGGGTTGTTTCCTTCCTTTGAAGTTGCTTTGTTTTGTCTTTTGAAGATGAAAATTGTTTGCAAGTGTAGTGAGAAGTTCATAATTCTTTGGCTTTTTTCTGTTTTTAGAAGTTACTCCTTTGGGGGAACTGGTCTGGATGACTTGCTTAACTTGGAAATTCTCCTTATCAGTGTGTTGAGTCAAAATGTGTGTATGTGAGCTGTCACTGTGGGGAACAATCGCTTTGTCATATAGCTGGTTATGAACTAGTGATGTGTTTGGGAAGTCCTACTGATGTTCCTTACTGGGAGAAAAAAATCTGCTGGTGTTAACAACTGTGCTTTTGCTATGCATGGTGTCCACGTCAGTTGGAAGGCAGACCCTGAGATTTGAGTTCAGGGTCATTTAAGAAAGGGGCAGTTGAAAGCACAATGCCTCACATGGGACAAAGTTCCAATATGCCAAATTATTATTTTTTACAAAATCTAGTTACATAAATACTAGTATGACAAGTAGGGAGGAAATAGAATTGGGTTAATTGGAAACACTCTTCAAGTTAACATGAAATTTGTCACCATGAGATAGCATTAGCTGCCCAGGATGCTGCTATTAAAAAAAAAAAAAAAGCAAAACAAAAAATCTCATTTATATGTGTGTATTTTTTAAAGCTACGATCTGTTCAATGTTTTTACAAATCTGTTTATATGACATTGTTAAAATAAAGTTGGTCTTTGGACGAGAGGGAGGATGTCATGGTCAGTTGTAATTTTGCCTTCACAAGGCAACTGGGTGGGGGGTGGGGGGAGTGTGCCTCCTTGACATTTTGTTCAAGCTATAGATGCAATGAAGCTATGTCTTGTTTTAAGTTGCTTTAATGCATTGTATTAGGTCTTCAAATAGAATAAAGATTGTTTTGAAACTTAAGTTATAGTTTGAAATTTCAGTTACCACCTATGCAGTTTTTCTAAGACAGTCCTTTGGCTCTTGAGAGCAATAAACGTTGCTGCTCTCTCTGTAGTCTCCCATCGCCCACCCCTTTTACTCATTTATCATAATTATTTCATTTTTGTAAAATGAAGACATTAAAGTGGTCTCATGAATGATCGCTAGCTTAGTGTTTCCATATCCTTAACAATGGAAAAATACTTCTAGATGCTGTTATTTCAAGGCGCATTTTTGGAGTAAGAAAACATCAGGATGCCCACAGTCCTTCCTTCTCTACCACCTGTCTCCAACCTGCAGATCAATCTCTATGGTTTCAGAGGGTTCGTCTCTGTCCTGTAGTCTGCACATGTTGAACATCTCCAGCACAGAGAACAGTATGAGGCATTGAGCTATAGACAGGGAGTAAAACTAAATGCAGGCTTGGGCTTCCCAGTGTAGCATCCAGACAACATAGACAAACTTCATCTGAAATGGCATTCCCACTGGTGCTTACCAGGAAGGGACTTAAGAGTGGTGCCACTGCACACACTCATGTAAGGCACTGCCTTACATGAGGTACTGTGAGGGTACCTCATGGAAACATGGTCCATGCAGATGAGCATGACACATAAAAAACAGTCATGGCAGCCATGATTAAGAAACAGTACAGCAGTCACGGATTCACATACTGCTTTTCCCCTGCTCTCTTCTGTATCACAGAACTCTTTTTTTTCCCAAGGCCTTCTGCCCACTCACTCACATAGTGGGTCTCACATACCTCCATCTTGCCAGACAGTCCCTTTTTTGAGGTCCAAGTAGCACCACTCTGCTCTCTTTTTCAGGAATCTGACTGCTGAGCCCTGGTAACTTTGCTTCCTCCCATTATTCTGTCCCCAAGAGAAGTGCTTTTTGCTGTTGCTAATCTTTTACCACACCTGTTTGATGTCAGCCCTTCCATCATCTGAGTAACCAACAGTCTAGTCATTTCTATAAGTGTAGAGTGCTTTTTATGCATCGAATACTTCATGTGCCTTACTGAATCTGATTTTTCCACAATTATAGGATTTAAAAGATTATATGCCCATTCTGTAGATGTAAAAGCTGAAGCATAAATGTTTAAATTATTTACTCAAGACTGTGTCATGAAATAGAGCACTTATGTGGTCTGAATCAAGGCAGGGTTCTTTATCACTGCATTGTAACAGTCAGTGGCAAATGCACTAGGGAATTCTAAGAAAAGGTCACAGCTCACTCTTCCTGCTGGGAATCTAATCATGTGGCTCTCAACTGGTGACAGTGCACAAGGAGCTAATCATAAATGGCAGGAAATGGCAAGGGCTTGCATTATACCAGCGATTCTGGAAGGATGCTATCCCAACTAGTACCTAGCATCAGCACCCCTTGGAAACATGTTTGTTGGAAGTACAAATTCACTTTGTCCTGCTCACTTTCAGAGTGGAATCCAGCAATTGAGGCAACAAGCTCTCCAGGTGATCTTACCACTAAAGTTGAGAACCACTACTTTAGGATCACCCAGTTGTTGAAATACTTTTAGTATTCTAGTTAACAACCACTACTATTAAGGAAGGAAATAAATATATTTTATGATAAGATTTATGCTAATAGTCTAAGAGGAAAGAACATAGTGTGATTTACTGGTCTATCCTTCTTTGGTCTTCCTCAAATATTTAAGCAGATGGGAAAACTAACAACTTAGTTCACCTGCAAAGACCTCAAACTCTCGGGTTGCACCTAGTCAGTCTCTGGAACTCTTAAAGCATATGCTGTGTTTGGTATGCTAAAGGAGACTACTCAATACCCCAGTTCACCATTTACATCTTGGTCAATAATAATGCAAAACTGGTGATTATAAACCATGGCTGGTGTCACTAGTTGACTGAGTTCTGGTCCTTTGCATTGTCAATGACAATGTTCAAGTGAAAGCATTAGAACAATTGGGGTCTACTTTCTTGCTGCTATCTTAAAGCACCAAACGAGCATTAAACAATCAAAATGGGTATGAAGTTCATGACAATGTGGGGGAAATGACACTTTGCCCTGTTATCTAAAGCACAGGCCCCAAGTGAAAGAACTGTACAATTGCAACAGACAAGTTAAGGTTTATATGTTAAGAATTGATATCCTGGCAGCCCATTAAAAACTTTTTTCTGAACTGTTAACTTAGAAAATGTGTCTGCAAAGCAGAATCCTACACAGACCTAAATATAAGATCTAAAAACTGTAAAGCCTCTAGAAGAAAAAACAGGGAAAATGCTCTCTGACTTGATATTGGTGACTGGGTATTAACACCTAAAGCACAAGCAACAATTTCAAAAACAAACAAAATCAGACTACAGCAAAAGAAATGATCAGTAAAATGAAATGATAGAGTAGGGAAATTATTTGCAAGCCAGGTATCTGACAAGGGATTAATAACCAAATTATATGAAGAAGTCATACAACTCAGCAGCAAAATAATTTGTTAAAAAGTGAGCAAAGGAACTGACATTTTTCTATACAAAGAAGATATACAAATAGTCAACAGGTATTTGAAAAGGTGCTCAGTATCAATAACCATTAGGGAAATGGACGTCAAAGCCACACGACGGTTATTTCACGTGTTTATATGGTTATTATCAAAAAGGAGAAAAGCTGGTGAGGCTGTGGAGATAGGAACCCTGGTGTATTGTTGGTGGGGATATAAATAATTAGTACAGTCAGTCACTATGGAAAACAGTATCGAATTTCTCAACATGGCAATGTTGGATGAGCCTGCATCCACCTCCTTCCATGGTTTATCACACCAAATATACATGGAACACTTCTCTCTGATATCGCTCAGTAGACAAGCTGAACAGCTCCTTCCACAACAAGGGACAAATTGACCTCACCAAAACAGGAGAAGCAAAACTTGATCTTGCCAAGAAACTTTGCCCCAACACCACAACCCACAGGAGGGACCTCACAAATAGGGGCTTCTCCCTGAGACATAAAAGGTTCATGCCCCTCATTGGGCATCCTACCGCGTGGGAACACCAAGTAACCAGAGTCCAAAAGGTAGTGGAGGGCGAGGGGGGAAAGGACAGTCCACTTTTAAAAGGCAAGTGTACACAAGCACACCTGCTTGCAACTGAGCACAAAAGCAGCACATCACTGAAGCTATCACACATTAGCTAGTCTTAGTGTGTCTGCCAGAGACGAGAGTCTGTTTTAATTCTCCAGGTGTGGAGACAATCTCAGGCACCATTCTGTTTTGTTGGGGCTTCCCCCCCATCACTCATACTCTGCTAACTCTGGCCAGAGGTGGCATGCCATTGTAGTGTTCTTCCCATGTTGCTCAAGTCAGAATCTTCTCATACCCTCTTGAAACTCTGGGGCTTCACTCAACATGATTGAGCATTTCAACATACTTCACTAGTGAACACAGCCTCACTGCTCAACGACCCACCGCACTACTATAGCTACAGCAGGAAGAACTCTCAGGAACATAGGTCGGGGGGTGCAATGTTTGTGAGGCCAAGAGTGAGCACTACAATTTAGCCAAATCGCTCAGAATGAAGATTATACTAGAACCCCAATTCTAGAAACAATTCCCCCAAAATGACATCAACATATCACCAAGTCTATAAGCCAGCAGAGCTTACGACTATGACTCCATCAAGTTATATATATTGGCATACTTTAAAGGCTGATACCTGAGGGTCTGGCACAAATCAGCCTGAAATTAGACACTAAAAAGATAGTCCCACCCCTTGGAACACACACCTTCTCAGCTCACCTTCAACAAAAGAACTGATCAAGAATACCATGACAGGGCCCTCCCTGGTGGCGCAGCGGGTTAAAGCACAGCAATAAGATTCTTCAGCCACTTCCACTTGAGTTTGTTTCCCGCCTGTCCCGGAGGTACATAGCGTGGCAGACCTCTCCTGACCCACCCACTGCTCCCCTCAGCAGTGTACTTCATCAATCTGCCTGTTCTGCTCCCCGCTTTGTCCCTGGTGAATCCTCTCACCCTCCGCATCTCTGGCCTGTACCCCAGTTCTGTATGAATAAGTCTTTAAAAAAAAATGCCATGACAAGCACAATGATTCAAGAGACAACAAAAAATAGGACAAATTTGAGCAAGGTTCAACCTTTTACAAGATTTTTTTCAATACTGCAATAGACTGCTCTTTTACCTAATTTATACAAACGGTGTCGAGCAAAATGAACAGAAGAATGTGATCCAAATAAACAAGATAAAACTTCAGAAAAAAGACCTTAATGGAAATGGAAATAAACAATCTGCCAGATAAAGAATTCAAAACAACAGCATGCAAGATGCTCACCAAAGTCAGGAGACTGTATCAACAAAATGAGAAGTCCAACAAAGAAAATATAAGTGCCAACAGAAGTTACAGAATTGACAAATACAGTAACTGAACTGAAAACTACAATAGCAGAATTCATGAAGCATAAGATAAGTGAGCCTGAAGATAGAGAAGTAATCAGAAAAGTCCCCAAAAATAAAGACCAGAGAGTTTCACTGGGGAATTCTACCAAACCACCAAGATTTAAAATCTATATATCTCACACTTAGAAAAATTTGAAAAGGAAAACTTTCCAACTCATTTCATAAAAATCATTACTACCCTGATACCAAAACCCCCAATACATACACAAACACTCATATGATACAATACACAAACATGCCTGCACAC